GCGCATACCATTGGAAAAGTGTTGTGGATTTTTTTTTGTTCTGGAATTGAAAAAAGAATCCTTCTGAGCATGTTGGCTTCAAAAAATGGATCAGAATTTCCAAAACGTCGTGTACGTACCCACTCGTGTTGCTTCGAATTAGGTGGTGTAGAACGAGCAGTATCGGCCGCTAGTGTGAGCATTCACTTTTCCACTGTTTCACACGCATGGTCTTACAGTTCGTCCGCAACCTTCTTGTAAGGGTCTAATTCGGTCTCCTCTCTCGATATCAAACAAGATCAGCTCTTATCTGTAGAATCGCTGCGAGTGATCTGTTAGTGGAAAGTTTCATGAAGTTCACTGCACTTTAGAAAGATCTACCATGGTGAATCTGGAGAGCAATGAGTTCCGCTGTCTGTTCAGATATCCACGGTATCCTACTGCACCTATGTATATCTACTGCAAAGTCATAGAACTACAGGTCAGAATAGAATTCCTCTCCATCGAGCAAGAGGAAAATACAAAGCACATTTTCAATGATACACGGTGCCTGGTACGCCATGAAAGAACTGATTTTAATAATCGTGAGAAAAAAAATTGAAAAAAAAACTATCAGGCAAAATAAAATGATTTCATGACGCTTCCATTCAGACTTATATGATGTCAACAACTCTCATTAAAATTGAGTTTCAAAACTTCACTCCCACAGAGGTTATGAACGAAGGAAAAGAGAGGGTGTGCAATGTAAGTCGGGGCTGCATTTTCGGTTAATGGGATTATGAAAAGAACAAGTACTTATGTATATTTTTCGGTGCGGTCAACACCCCGACAAGAAGCAAAAAATTCAATGTTGGAATTGACTAGTGAAATTTCCTGTTTCATTTAACTATCTAAAACGGCGGCGGAGGGCTGGAGTTCGGTACGTGGCTGCGAAGCTTCTTGGGTGTGGGTGGGTTCACTATGGATAGGTCATATGGAGCCCAAGCTTATTATTCTATCCCGTTTTTAACTCCGTCTATATCTCGTGGAGCAGCGAAGCCAAGAACAACAAGAACCTCGTCTTCATATCGTCGTGTTTGGCAAATTTTTTCTTCCGGAGGAAGAGCTTCTGGAGCTGGGGAAGGTGGTAGAAATACTACAATTTTCTTGAGGAATACGACAACAACACAAAAGTTTCCCATTTGAATTGTCAAAGTTCAAGCCAGCAGGAAATTTTGGCCGAAATTTGGGTTGCAGAAAATGGGCTTTTGAGCGTCTCAAGCGTATTTTCCGGCACATAGTTCGCATTTCTTTGGGGCCAATATAGCAGTAGGTGTTGTTGAACGTGTACTTTCTGGAAAGCAGGTTGGAGAGAACCTTTCAGGAAGAATACTAGAAATAAAAGGAAAATGCTTCAAAAACTGCACATCCACATTCCTCCAACAGCGAAGCCGTTGCACCAGAGCTCACATATGAAGTAATTACTAGCGTCATTACCTTATACAAAGAAAGTGTTCTGTGCTGTATTGCCTGTGGTGTGATAGAGAAATCACGGAAATTTGGAAAATTGAACACGAGTTTTCTGGACATTTTCAATTATTGCACTTCTGATAACTGCAGGAAAAACCTCTTATACTCACGGAATAAAAGAGCTTCCTCTGCTCTACAAGCGTGTTTACCTTACCTAGATGTAATACTTTGTCCAAGCGGAATTATGTGTTCTTGAAAAAAGCGGCGCCATTACTTTTGCATCAACCTAATAAAAAAAACTGATTCCTCCTGAAAATCCCGAACTTTCAAACATTTATTCGAGTATCCTTTAATTCGGTCACCACTCTAATCTAACAATGTTCTTCGGATAAGTATTTCATGTCCAATGAGAGGCTATTTTTGAAATACAGTACAAACACTCTTGCAAAGCTGACCCAATCGAAATTATGCGCTCCATTCCGAAAACATGACGCCAGGAAATATCATGAAATTTATTTCCTCAAGAAAAAAAAACGTAAATTCTATGATGAGATCGTGAACAAACCGTACCGGTATGGCACAACATTGCACAAAATGTCATCAGCCAACACAAAACGACAACATTAACATCAACATCAACGATGACAACGGGACTTAATTCGACTATTTACAGAAAATCAATAAAATCAGATATGGATTATTGGAAAAATCAAGTCGGACTGGATTACCGCATTGTGTTAGAAATTGGTTTTGTTGGAAAGGATTGAAATTAAGAATAGGTTTTTAAAGAGTCACGAAAAAAACTGTAAGGGTTACGTTTATTCCAAGAAGTTACCGGTTAGATTACTGCCAACAGTGAGGAGTAGTTTTGGTCGTAAATGAGAAATTTCCATCGAAATTTGTTATGAAGCGCCGGCTGTCACCAATTTTTGCCGATCTGACGAGGATGGCTCGAACAGGTCGTCTTCAGAATCAGAATCCACTGCCAACGCCGTTCGTTGCAGATCTTTCGCCGACATCAGGTCGTATTTCCGCACTCGACTTCGCGTCGCTCTGGTCCTGAATCGAAAAAAAATTCACTTATAAAATATCCACTCAATTCTGGAAGCAAGAATATTACATTGAATTTGCACGAGAACTGTTCCCCAACCAATGCGACGCGGTAGGTCAGAGACCAGACAACGAAGTGGAGGAGAGATAATGGTTGACTTGATAGAGCGCAGGGTACGTAAGATTGCATAGGCAAGCGAGAGAGCGCAGACACTAACAGACACTCCCTTTGGGGCTGCTTCATAGGAGAACAATCCCGCGCGACGTAGTGTGGCTGACCAGCAGCGGCAGGGGGGGGGGGGGAGGGGGCGGAGCCAGTCTTGCTCATTGGTCGGTTTGACTTTCATGTGCCATTCGTACCCCAAAAATCACTACTCTGTTTTTTAAAAAGAATTAAATGCTTTACTTGCCA